AAAGATAAATAAAATATTAATTTAATAATAAAAGTTATAGTTATAATTATTGGTTTTTATTTAAAAAAAACTTTTTTGAGGTTAATTAGAAAAAAATTTTGATAAGTAAAAAATAATAACCGCCATTACTTTTGGCTGGGACTGTATCTTCTAGGGTTGTACGACTAATTTGGTATGCAGTTTTTGGAAATGTAAAGTTGCAGTGCCATTTACAATTTGTTATTATTGTATCACGTAGGCGATGTAATTTCTATCTTTCGAGATTTATAATTGCCATTTGATGAACAACGAAATGATTTACGCCGAATAATAGTAGGATCATGTTCTTTATCATTACGAAAAATCTGATATCCAAAACAACGTTCTAAACAATATTGATGCATAAATGTATCAACTGATATCCAATCATCAAAACGGTCTTCCACAGTAAGGTTATATTGATAATTATTATCAGAACATGGGTTTAAATGTGATAAAAGGTCTATATGGTCTATATCATCATCATCAGAAGTTAAGTTCAGAAAGTTCAAAATATGACTCAAAACAAGGTAGCGAAGGATTTGTATTAAAAGGTTTAGAGTAGAGTGAAAGGTTTAAATTATTATTAAAAGGTTCAGAATACGATGAGAAATAACTCGTCTCATTATTATAATGATTAGAACAAAAGGCATCAAATTCCATATTGTTCTATTATCTATTGTATCTATTGTATCCATTATTAAGAAAAGAAGTATTTTTTTTTGAAAAGAAGAATACGAAGAATCAAAAGAGAAAAGTGGCACTTTTGTATACAGGAAGTAAACATTAATAGTTAATCTTTATGGTAAATATTCACCTCCGGTGAATTTCACCATACATTATATGGGACCTTTGCAATAGAAAAGGGGGAAACTGCCGGAAAAAATCAATTTTACTTTTTTATGCCAAAAATGATTTTAAAGCTAAAACATGTTCAAATTTAGCACTAACTCATTTTTTATTTTTCCGGTAGTTTCCCCCCTTTCTATTGCAAAGGTCCCAATATTATGTAATTTAAAAATTTATGTTTTATGTTCAAGTTAAAATTCACCACTGGTAAATTAATTTCAAATTAACCGGAGGTTAATCTTAAATCAATCCTTAACTTTATCAATTTTTTAATCTTAAAAATTTTTATCATGATTTAATTTAAAATCATTATTATACTATTTTAAATTTTAAAAAATAGACAATTCATTTCGCTCAATTCATAGTTACCTGGCAAAACTCATTTTAGAAAATGACAAAAGTCGAAACTCTATACTTTGACGGAATTGTTATTTATTTAGAC